TCCTCCTTCTCTTTCTGAAAACCCTAAGGATTTTTTGTTCCAACATTGCCTTGCTATACAATCCCCATAACATGATTAAACAGTATTATTATGCCCAATACATGCTACTACCTGTCCTCTTTGGGATGAAATCATAATATATTCTAATATCAATTCATTTCTCCAAGTGCTTCCAATTATGTAGCCAAAACCACAACACCCACACAGAAGAGAGAAGCATTATTTCACATAACCCTGAGGTGTGCAGATATACCACAGAGAGAGAGAGAGAGAGAGAGAGAGAACAGGGGAGATGAAGAATTGAAGCCATGTGGTGTGGAAATCTTCCTTCCTCAAAGAGTGCAATGGGGACTGAGATTGCTTACTGTGTGTAGAATATCAGCTCACTGTTGGAGTGAAGGAAAGGAAATTGGGCAGAAAGAGTAAAAAATGGGATGACTGCAAAACAACAGATTAAAGAAGGGCAGTGCACAACTCCTTTGTCCAGATATCAAGTTGGATATTGTATAGTCTTCCATTCAGATCTTGTGTGCCTCCCAAAAAATCTGATGAGCTGCATTTTCATAGCTGACAAGCCATTTTCCTGCCTAAAATGAAAGACAAGATGGCACCTCTCTGGCAACCATTCTCTATGCAAAAAAATCCTACGATGTAAGGGACAACATTTTCCATAATACTAGAGGCCAGTAGGCTGGTAGGCAGGCCACCTGCACACATATTAATCATTGTCCAAAATCCTTTTGCATATTGTAATAAATTGCACAAGAGTAGGCCTATTAAATCAATTGAGATTTAGTGACTTAACTTTTTTCCTGCCTAAAATGAAAGACAAGATGGCATCTCTCTGGCAACCATTCTGTATGCAAAAAATTCCTATGATGTAAGGGACAACATTTTCCATCGTACTAGAGGCCAGTAGGCTGGTATGGCAGGCCACCTGCACACCTATTAATCATTGTCCAAAATCCTTTTGCAGATTGTAATAAATTGCACTAGAGTAGGCCTGTTGAATCAATGGGGATGAGAGTTCTATTGATTCAATTGGGCCTACTCTAACTGCAACTTACTGTGTTAAAGCAAGTTGCAGATAGATTAGCTCCACTGTGATAAAGAGAATTTATGGAGGAGGTGACTCTCCAAATCCCCATTGATTTAAGGGGCCTAGTGTGATTTACTGCAATAAGCAACAGGATTTTGGCCATTAATACCTTCCTCTCACTCTCCAGCATTCAGCATTTGCTGCCTGAGTTGTCTTCCTCACTCTGCCTAATGATCTGTGTTGGGGACTGCTTTTTTAACAAGCTGAGTAAGTCACAGTGTTGACAGGCTTTATAGGAGGAAGAGAAGGGAATGATCTCAGTTTGGAACAGAAGGGGTACCATCCACTAGGGACTGCATCACCTGAATCAGACATTACCTTCCGCTCCAGTGGTTCCTCATTAACATTAGTTGGAGAGAGAAAGGGAGGGAGGGAGGGAGCATGTGAATTTGTAGAGCTGTTCCCCATATTCAGAAGGAAGGTCAACTTTTTATGAACAAAGTTGTCCTGAATGTGCTAACGAACTTAAGCTGTGGTCACACCAACAAAATGTTTTCCAGTTTTCCCTCTTTCATTTTGCAATTTAAATTTGTGGTCACATGATGCATGGCCGTTAGCAAATCATTTACCCCAGTAAGCATGCTAACTGCAGATCATCTCTTGCTCAGCCAGAAGCTTCTACTTTTATTGTTATGGATTTTTTTTAATGTTGTGTTGCTGCATGTGCAAATGATCTTATTGCAACTTTTTAAAAGTTCTTTAAAAAAAGTTTCTGTTGCATGATTTAGATACCCTGATCCTGGCCTAATTATGTGCTGGCACAATGGCTGTGGGCCTGGGCTGAGAGGGGTTTGGATTTTGTGTAACTCATCTCCTCCCTTGCTCATACATTTCGCTATCTGGTTCTTGGTGCTCTTTCTGAATAATTTATTTGTTTCTTACGTTCATTTAAATGGCATTCTTCTCTCTGAAGAGACCCAAAAAAAGGGCACAACACGAAAACATATGCAACAACAAAATATTCCATATAAACGATGAAATGCCACAAAACCTAACAACACGAACAATTTTATTAACATATTAAAATGTATGCTGCCTAAATGGTGGAGTAGCAGTTCTCCTCCTCCCAGGCCTGCCAGAACAATGCTGCCTCAGCTGCCCTCCTGAATATCTGCAGGGATGTCATAATTTATAGGAACCCGGGAAGAGAATTCCAGAGCATGGGGGCAGCAACACATAAAGATCTTTTTCAAACTAGACTGATCTGACAGTTGGCATCTTGAAAAGCCAGTTCCAGATGATCTTCTTTGATACAGGGGCACATATGGGTAGGGTCTGTCCAGTAGGCGCTTTCCTGGCCAGGACGGCAGCTGAGATCCAGTTGTGCTGGCAGATCTAATGAGAAGGAAGAAAAGAAGCTTCTGCCTAGGCAAAACTCACTTCAGCCAGCAGATATTTAATTCTAAATTACACGGTAACTTTTGTACAAAACCAAATCTCCGAATACCCTTTCTCTCACCTGTCATTAGACAGCAGAGTGGTTGCTAGGTTGTCTGGAGCAACACAAGATCTGCCTATCACTTGGCAACATTTTATTCAAAATAATGATGTCATATTAATTAATTGTACCTCCTATTAAAAACCACCCAACATTTTCCCACTATTCCATAAAATATATTAATAGCCGTAATGACTGCATCCATTACAAGGTGTCCAGTGCCAGCCCAAGACCTTTTGTGCCTGTGGAGTGAAGCCAAAAAGTGCCGCACCACCTCCAGGAGCCAATAATTTAGCATGTTTTGCTGAACTGTGCCAATCTGGGCCTTCATCGATCACCAGCTCCCACCCTGCTACTGAAAGCAGGTCACTTCACCCCACTAGATAGCTGGGCAGGTCCTGCTACTGTATGTTCTTCTTACACAATGGTTGTTGCCGTGGTGATTTCCTTGGGTTGTAAACACCATATATTATTCATAAACCTATGCCATTAGCAATCACTGTGTCATTTTCTAGAATAGCTGGGACTTTAAATTGCACAATAGGGAGTCTGACTGTGCAGAAGAGGAAGCAAGCAAGATAGTGAATTTTAAAAGTGATGAGAGAAAGAGAGAGAGAGAGAGACTCATTGATTCATTGATTTTTAAAGGATATTTAATGATTAGTTTGACCCACAGTACTTACCTATGTGTTTGAATTAACTTGATGGCAAATAACGATGATGATTATTTAGTCACTTTCAGCTTTAGTGTTAATTTTCTGTTTCCTTTGGAAATGTACAATTCTCCCAAAAGGACAATGATTTCTTGGTATTAAAACAGGATTGCTACCACTGCAGCTTCCTCCCCACCCACCACAACCCATGTCATTTCGAAGCATTCATGGACATTTCATTCTAAAGGGGACCCAGGGGCTGCAGTAGACAAACAGGGTGGGAAAGTATCTTCAGATCCAAGCCACTCTGTCAAAGACTATGCTAATGATTTGACTGCATTATGTATGTCATGACATGCAGTGTGTGAATGAGCCATCAGATATCCATCATAGACAGACAGGCCTTTCATATCTTTCCCAGCTCGGATGCAATGGTTTTAGAAGGAGTCAATTTCAACTTCTATTTGTTAGACTGACTGCTGAGTAATCAAGTGACAGGAAACCAAGCAATGTACTTGGGAAACTATGTGAATTTGCTGGAAAGAGTTGTTTCATAGCTTGCGTTAATGGATAACAGCAACTGGTGAAAAATAATCTCCACAATAGAGGAGTTTCAACAGCTGCTACAACATCAGCGTACTTGGAGTGCACTTTCCCTAGAGTAAGACCAGTACACTCTTAGTGGCTCTTCACACTACAGTATAAGGTGGAGAAGTTTAATACCTAAACAAGTTCCTAAGAGCCCTATAGACCTTTATAGACACCTAGGAAAAATCAGAAGCCTGTGTTCGCACAGTTGGCTTTGATCCCTGAAAAAGGATTAATTCTAATATGAATCAGATAATCATTCCCAATCATATCAGTGCTCATCTGGGTATGAAAGTAAAATAAGTTACTCCATTGTTGGAATAATTCCAGGCAACATCAGGTTGTCTGTTTCTACAAGTTTATTCATCTACTGTATATTGTTTCTATGTAACGTTCCATATTATGAAATTCATAATATTGAAAACATGTAACTTGTTGAGCAGTTAAAAGCACATTGCAGTTAGACAGAAATCAGTCTTACAGCTATGGAAAAAGTGTAGGCACAAGTGCTTAAAAATATATGAAAACTAAATTTAAGTTGCAGACAGATATTTAAGTTAGAATTCAATCCAAAATACAGGAGCATAAAAGGTATAATAAAATGTCAAAATGAATGTTTTAATCACTTTCTAAAAATGCAGGACCTTATAGCCTTAAAAGGCACAATAGAAAAACAGATAATGCCTCTCTTAAAAAAATATCAAAAGATCTTAAAAGTAAAAATATACAGAAGAAAATACATTTCTTAGCATTTCAATATATTACTGGGCACTAGAGATGGGGATATTTGTATTTGTAAACTAATACAAATATCTCTGCCCCAGCTGGATGTAACGAGGCCACGGCTCTCAGGACCAGCCTATTGACTCACTCATCTGAGTGCCACAAAAGTCCCGCTCTTCCTGCCAATGGTGCCGGGAGTGCTACCATCTCCCTGCTCAGTTGGCCACTCAGCAGCCATGCTGGGAGACTGGTCCTCCTGCCCTCTGCTTGGAGTGGCCAGCTGATCATGGAGACAGCGGAGCTCCTGGCGCCATTGGCAAGAAGAGGGAGACAGCGGAGCTCCTGGTGCCATTGGCAAGGAGAGCGGGATCTCCACAGAGTCAGGATGCATGAATGGATCATCCAGTCCCAGAGCCGGACCCTCATGAGGTCCAACTGGGAGAGAGATATTCATATTACAAATACTGCATGAAGATCCCATCTCTGCTGGGCACACATGAAAAAAAAAAAGAAAAATATCTGAGTGCTCACCTAGTCAAGCCAGTTTGAATTCTATACAGGAAAATCCATCATGTCTTAGTCTGTTCTGAGGTGCTGTTGCAAGCTTGCTATTACATGTTACTTTTTGATAGCTGGTGCCGAGTATCTGTGTTGCTGTTGGTATCTTCTATGTTATCTGTCTCTTGCATCCTCTTTTATGCTCCCCTTTCACTTTAAACAACTGATTTTTGCCAGCGTCGTCAATTGCTGAGCCCTACAAAAAGTCAGGAAAAAATTAGTGGAAATAGATTTGATCTACTGTGCTATGTCCCTTCCCAAAACCTGCTTGTTCCTGGTGGAGGATATTATTTTCCTCCATCCATTTAGCCAGCTTCTGGGAAAGAAGGCGGGTATAAAGCTTGGAGCTGATATCCAGTAAGCTGATTGGGCGGTAATTCTGGGGGATGGATTTATTGCCTTTTTTGTAAACTGGGAAAATTATGCTCTGCCTCCACCCATTGGGAAAAATTCCTGTAGCATTATTGTGAGAGAAGAGCTGTGCTAGGACTAGGGCCCACCATTCCAGGTTGTTCTTATACACCTCTGGCAGGATCATGTCCTCGCCAGGTGCTTTACACAGATATTGTAAATTATGAAAAACTACAAAAATACACAAGAACTATGACATTATCTGCCACCTCCATGATGCTTCCTTTTGCCGCTGCAGTCCTCTCAGGAACTGGAAGAGAAATTGATTTTCCCAGAAACAGAATATTGCTGCAAAATATCCTTGTTGTAATGAAAAGTATTTAGGGTTGAATGGACAATTAAGATCCATGAACTTTACAAAAGATATGATCTTCATTTCTCTTGTCAAGGAATTGGAGCTGGTTATGGGGACTGTCATGATGAGGACCTTGTACTTTGAGGTTTACTACTACACCACTGAGGATAAGCCAGCAAACCAGAGAAATCCTGATTCACAGAGAACAAGTGTGCTCATAAAACACAGGCCTTTGGTCTGTGAATAGTTGATTGTTTGCTCCAAACCTGACAGTAGCTGGCACTGCAGTTGGTTTCTCTCTCAGCAGTCTGGAGGGGAAAAATCCATGTTTTGTTTCATTCCCTTTTTCTGTGATTTGCCGGAGGGGGGGGGAGGGCAAGACAGACCACCAGCTATTGCCAGGCTCAGATGTCACAATAAAGAAACCATGGACCACCTCTGTGATTTCTTCAGTCATCCCTGTGACAGACCTAAGCAACTGGGTCATGTACAGTATACTAGCATGCCCTTCATTCTAAAGAAGATAATAGAACTCTGGCTTACTGGGACTTCTTAACATGACCATTATTTTTCAGCTTAAGTTACCCACAGGCTTGTTAGCTACAACTAGAACATTATCATTTTAATTTCTGAACTGCAGAGTTCAGAATTCTAATCCAATAAGTAACTTTTTCAAGCTCTGGCTACAAACATCACAACAAACTCCTCAGAAGCAGGATGAGATACAGTTGTAACAACAAAAATAAATGAATGAATACATGTTTTTTAAAGAGAATAAAAGCTTTTCCAGCAAATCTACTATTTGTGGGGAACTTACTATTTGATAGTCCTTCATCTGTTGAAAGTTATGTGAAAATCCTCAGTTGTCATTCCAACCACGTGGGTATGTGCCTGAATGTCGATGCTTCTAGCAATTCATGACTATCCTAAAAAGAAAGAAAGAAAGATTAACCTCCTTGTAAATTAATTTAAGACAAAGTCAACCCCAAATTATTCAGTGAAATTAAACAACTTGTGCCCACATGTTGCTAGTCTGACTTTGCACGTTCTAGTAAAATGCTGCCTCTAAGCAAATGATGGCTCTGTAAGCAGATGAGTTCAGAAACGTGTATCTTTTAAGAGAAGTGGTTGTAGCTCCCAGTCTATTAACATAATATCTGAAGCACTATTGAATAACAAGCCTTTACACACAAACATGTACATTACTTACAGTCTTGCCACATCTCTTTGATAGCTAGGGGAGGCCCTTTCAGTTGGGCCGCCTGCTCCTTTGGGCCATCAAGTGTAGTCGTTCCTCTTCTTTGGAATACAGAACCTTCCTCCAAATTAAGGCATATGCAACTCTGAACATTACGTCCATGCACAAAGGGTGCCAACCCCCCCCAAAAAACAGTTTTTTTCTGCCAGTGACAGTTTTGTTTATCAAATATAATAAATTAGCTTCGCAATCCTCAAGGTATGCATAATGAAATGGATATATTACATTACATTGGTTTTTATTTGTATATACAGGGATTCTGCTCATACCATGCTGATAATATTCCTTTTGTTAAGTAGTGCATCCAAGAAAGAAAGAAAGAAAGAAAGAAAGAAAGAAAGAATTAATTAATTAATTAATTGATTGATTGATTGATTGATTGATTGATTGATTGTCCATCATTTATGCAAGCAAATCATCACTCTAAAACTATATATAACCTGAAACCTCTCTAGGCAAAGCTAACCACCTGTGGCCAGCATCTTCGTTCCTTTTTCTGACAAAATAAACAGGAAAAGAAATACGAGATGACTGACTTTGTTGACTTGAAACTTGTCACTTAAAAATGAGAACACCAGGTACACCTGATTTAGTGACGGTTTCTTTCTCCCTTTTGTGGGACACAGGGGCAACTGTTGTTTTAAAAACAAAACACATTGTATTTTAAACGTAGTTGCACATGACCATGAATGATCACATGAGGATTGCTTGTTTTAACAGTTTCTTTCTGGGCATTTCCAATAGTTGTGTGAGGAACATTTAATCACAGCTGAATAATATACCAAAACAAAGATAGCTGCATTGATCTGTGAGGAAAAACAATGAATAAAAACACAACCCACAGTTGGGTAATTCTTTGATCCATTCCAAAATGGCAATATAAAATAAAGTGCTTTTGAATGTGTTAGAACTCAGTTCCATCAGACTAGATGAAACAAAAAGGAAGGAAGGAGAATTAAATCCATAAATTAGGCCAGACATTGTTGCAGTGAGTCTACAGCTCAAAAGATACAGTATGTCTTTGAATCACTGTCAGTCTTCTGACTTCAGAAACGGAGTTCAGCCATTTATTTCTTCAATTTTATTATGTTTCCTTTCTATAACATGTTTCTCCCAGTGAAGGGATCTGCAGAACAAATACAATAAATGTATGGTGGTAAGTTACCACACTGGGAAAAAATGTACAACAATATTTAAAGTGAGAGAGTGTGGTGTAGTGCAGTGGTCCCCAACCTTGGGCTTCCAGATGTTCTTGAACTACAACTCCCAGAAGCCTTCACCACCACCTCTGCCGGCCAGGATTTCTGGGGGTTGGCGTTCAAGAACATCTGGAGGCCCAAGGTTGGAGACCACTGGTGTAGTGGATAGAGCATTTGACTGTGACTTGGAAGAACTGGGTTCACGTCCTCCCTTGATCATGGAAATGTCCAGAAAATGACAGTGATACACTACTCCTTGAGCATTTGACATACATTGAAAACCATACTACCGTTTTCTAAGTAAGAAGTGACTTTAAAAATGCCATCAAAATAATACATTTGCAGCATTTCTCAATATGTTACCTTTCGTCCTTGCAATTGCCTCTTCGTCCCAATAGGCACTGCTTGGTGTAATATGTCCAATCCTATGATGGTAGCTCCTCACCTAATTATGATTTTCCTGCTTCTTCTCCTGGTTCCTAATTTTTGTTCTACCTATCTGATGAAGAATTGTGTAGAGTTATGTGGCATTTTGGATAGCCCAATCTCAAGTAAATCCCACAGGGTTTAGTGAGTCTGGCTACCACAGGTGTGTACAAGTTGCAAAGTAAAGTTTTTTCCACAGGGAAGATGTGAATTTTAATATTGGAAACATATTGGTTTGTTACAAAGTGTACAAAATAAACTGCTTTAGGTCCCAGTTTGGGGAGAAAAGTAAAATACAAATGATTCAAACAGATTTTGTTTATCTCATATTAATAATGAGAGCATAAAACTAATAGATGCCTTTAGTTTTGAAATATGTTTGTCTCCCTTGCCTTAACACCATCCAAGTATTACTAGCATTCACAAGTGATGTGCTCCAATATAAAAGTGTATATTCAAAAACAGTTATAGCATGTTTAACAGAAATTTACCCATTTAAAATACAATGTCTGAAAGCCTTAAATAACAAGTTGTATAACCTTGTGCTTGCTTTTTGTTTCCATTTAATTAAAGCTCGCTGTTCTCATCTTATGTGCAATATGTTGGCTATAATAGAATACAGTGACATCCAAAACCTTGGCAAGATTATTTATTTCCTTCCCTGACTTGTCATGTACTTACATGTATTTGAAAGACAGGATTGGACTAGGTGAAGATATGAAACATGCACTGTTCACTGAAAATATGATTCGTTGTTAGAAACCCTGGAGCTAATTTAGACTCAGTTTCAAATATAGTATTTCATATATAGCTACATGTTTTTTGTAGCAAGCAAATACCTGAGAAATGTCACCGAAATGCAGGGAAGCGGAGGCTTCAAGTACAATTGGGCATTTTTGGTGGTTGCGTTTGCTGCAGAGATGACATGTGAGTGGTACTGTCACATCCGTAGGCAGCATGTAGCAAAACCATTTCCATTTTGTACAGGTATGCAAGTAAAACTCTAACTCTTGCCCCACTCCTACTAAATGTTGTTAAAGACTGAGGACAATGCAAGGCATTAATGCTTACTTTACTGGGAGAGATAAATGTTCTTAAAATAAACATGGTCCCACATGTTACATATGTCCTCGGAGATCTACCAGTACACCTCTCCAAAACATTCTTTGCCCAAATGGTCCATTGTTCCACTCATTTATAGGAGAACAGATCAAAAGCCTTGCATTGTATAGAATGCATTACCAGTCCCAGTTTAAAAGGATGGATTTGGTCTTCTCAATCACAGAATCTATCAAATACTTTCAAGCACAATATTTAATTGGAGAAAAATTGGGAACAGAGTGGCCTGAAGGAGCAGAATTAGAAAGTCAGAAAATAGTACAAGGGAAGGATAGGTGCCCCTAAATGTTTAAAAAAAAAAAAAAAAAAAAGCAAAGCGTGCTGCTTATATACCGCCCCATAGCTCTTCAAGCACTTTCTGGGCGGTTTACAAGTTAATTATGCAGGCTACCCATTGCCCCCCCCCCCAGCGAGCTGGGTACTCATTTTTCCAACCTCAGAAGGATAGAAGGCTGAGTCAACCTTGAGCCGCTACCTGGGACTGAACTCCAGGTCGTGAGCACAGTTTTGGCTGCAGCATAGCGGTTTAACCACTGCACCACAAGGCTCTTTTAACCTATACCCTTATCATTCTGGTTGCAAGGAAGACACGAAGGGACTCAGGATCACTTTGACTTTCATTCACAAGATCTCATACTGTAGGGAAATCTGAAGAGAAAAATAGGAGACAACTATATGTAGTTAACTTAGATATTTAAGGAATGTAAAAGCTGTTCTCTAGAGGTCATTTCCCTTTTTTTCCAACCCTTCCTTTTCACTCATCCCTTCTCTTTTCTCCTTTAGGCTTCCCTCTTTTCTCCCTTATGGATTTGATCAGTGGTTTTTGTAAGCCTGTTTGTGTGTCTGAATGATATGTTGCAGTATCAGTAATGGTTGTACATAGGAGGATAGCGTAAGGGCAATGTGAGTAGGTTTGGGATAATGATTTATTTCAATATATTAAAAATAATAAACATTTAAAAACAGAAAACAGGTTGCTGTGGTCATGGATATAATTAATTATTGTCTCTATTTTTCTGTCCATTTCAATGTCTCCTTGTGCTCACCAGGGTCTACCAAGAGTCAAGAATCAAGAAAAAATCCTGTCCATCCCCAGTCTTTTAGGGCATTCTGTGTTCTAACATGCAAAGATATCCGATCCAAAATGATACTCTTGAGAGTAAGTCTACGGACTACCCAAGATGAAATGATCACTAAATGATCTGATGAAACTCATGAATTTGCCTGAATACTGCTTCTTCATTACATCCTGAAACAACAGACAATCATGAAGCACTTAATATTAGCATTTCCCCCTCCTGTTTACTTTTAACATCTCAGCTGAAGAGAGATTAAGTTTGCACAATTCTTTGTATCTTGTTGACTGGAGCAACAGAGGTATTGCCTTAGTATGGGTTTTACAATGCATGGGAATAGCATACATGGGCATTACACATATGACTGGTACTGTCACATCTGTAAGCAGCATGTAGCAAAACCAGTTCTATTTCATACTGGTATGCAGGTAAAACTCTAACTCTTGCCCCACACCTAATAAATGTTGTTATAGACTGAGGACAATGCAAGGCATTGTCTGAATCGATGCCGCTGACAAATAAAAAGGAATGAATTTTAGTCATTTTTTAATTTTTACTTGTTGGGCAATAAAACAGCCCCCCCCCAGGCACCTAGACACATCGTAATCATAGAGAAGCTTCACCTGGCTCTCCTCTACAATCCCTCCAAGATTGGTGAAGATTAGGTTCCCCCAAGCCAGCAGCTAAAGGGCACTTTTCTGGGGGAACCCAGTTTGTGGATGTATAACTTGGATGTCTGAAAGCCAATCTTCACCAAACTTGGAAGGATTGTAGAGGAGAGTGAATATAAGTTTCTCTATGACTTCGATGTCTCTTGGTGACTGGAGGGGGGGGACTTTCTTGGGTTTGGCTTTTTTGTGGATGTATAATTTGGACATCCAAAACAAAAATTTCAGCAAACTTGCAGGGTTTGTAGAGGAGAGTCAGAGGAAGCTTCTCTGTACTTTTGGTGTCTCTAGGTGCTTGGAGTGCTATTAGATAGGAGTGTAAAGGCAAAAATGAATTGACAAGTCGATTTATCAATTTGTCAGGAAAAAATCATAATTCGTAATTCATCAATCTTGACAAATCATGAATCAAAATAAATCGCCATTTTTCCAATTCATAGCCAGTACACTTCCTTGAATTGCATAGGTTGGGACAGCACAGTTTTAGTTATACATGGATTTATGTCAATCAATCAATCAATCAATCAATCAACC